GGTATCTTATATTATTAGATATATTATTATAAAACATGCTTTAATTAAGAAGTTATTATACTTCAAGTGTAAAATGATGATATAAAATCATGATAAAAATATACTTTTAAGTACTAATCAATATGTTAAATCATTCAATAATATATTGTATTCTCACTAAATGTTTAAAAACTTCAATTTCCAGAATCCATCAGAAATCATTGGAGTTCTCCTCACCAATAAAGAACATTAAATTGATAATCATACACACGAATGCTATATTTTTAATGCAACACTAAAAGACACTAAATGACATCATTCAATAGCTTACATGTCAATAGAAATTAATTTTTTTTTCAAATAATTTTAAGATACATCCACCTAGAAATATAATTTGTTGAAAGAATTTTGTAAAATATATTTAATTTAATAAATAAATATAAAAATTCATGGAAGCAAACATCATTAAGAATAAACTAAATAATATCTCGATATTTTACTTATAAATTTAAATTTTTTAAATTAAATTGGTTCTTTAACATGATATAAATTATATAATAATTGAGTCAAACTCTCATATTTTTTTAATTAAAATTAATAAATAATATAAGATAATAGAAGTTTAAGCTAATAAATAATATAAGATAATAGAAGTTTATTTAATTATATTAAAAAAATATAAATTATATTTTTAAATTTGAATAAATAATTTAATTTTTATATTGAAACGATCATTTGACAAACAACACATCACATCTTCCCGTTGAAATTAGATATCTTCCCGTTGAAATTAGATATAGTGGGTCTAACAGCATACTTTGCGTGCCAAATATTTTAGAAAATACTTAAATTCACTTTCCAAGCCATGAAGAAGAGGATATTGATGGGATTTTCTTATAAGATTGGCATGGCGCTTCTAGGTGCTGTCCAAGCATGACCACCTTGTGTTTTTTCCGGGGTCGCCTAATCCACACAAAAACAAGGGCCCCTCCACCATACACGGAGGAGGGTGCAAGCAGTAAGTTTTTCGCCAGTAGTTTTCCCTCGGTCAGAACAACCTTATCCCTTACACCGCGTCCCCCGAAACCCAAGGGCACTTGCTTCACTGTTTTTTAAAATACTTAAAATACACGACAATGTATATTTTAAAAAAACAATAAATATTTTTAATTGATAATTAACACGAGCATTTATTTTTATGTTTTTAAAATAATTTTTTTTTTTTTATTTTAAATTAATTTTTATTTTTAAATTATTTTGATATAATGATATAAAAATAAAGTTTAAAAAATAAAAATATTATTTTAATATATTTTTAATCAAAAAATATAATAAAAAGCAACCACTACTATAATATTAAATATTAAATATACTTACTTATAGTTAAGAAACTAAAAATATTAAATATCAATTTGGTTTAACTTCAGTAATGAATTAAACTATTAACTCAATTTGACATAGAGTTTTTAGAAGAAAAATTATAATAAAATCTAAAATGATGTTTTCTTACGGAACTTGGATTTTTTCACTGTTGATGATTTTTTTCATTAACTTGACCTCATTTAGTCCAAGACTTGTATTATGAATGGGCATAATTAACCTAATTCAAATTAGTATTTTTTAAATATCTCTATATAATAAAACCTAAAAGGATTTTTTTTAATGTAACAAAATCTAGGTTTTTTCATTGACTTGGCATAAACTAAGTCTCAAATTAGTGAGTAAATGTCTCTAGATTGAATTAGATTTAAAAATTAAAATCCATTTTTCTTGTTTATCTTATGTTAACATATGATTTGATAGCAATTTAAAAATACTGATCAGTAACTAAATAAATATAACATATAAAATTTAAATTCATAAGGCATTTGGTTATAAAAGAAAAATCTTTTAAAGAACTCTTCAAAATATAAAAAACAAACAAATCTTTTGGGATAACCAAACTTAGGATAGATAATTTTTTCAATAATTTAAACAATTATAAGAGGAGTATCTCTAAACACAACCCTTTGTATCTATACCACCTTACTTGATGAAATAATGAATCATGTTATGTCTTTTACTATGATAGCTTGTCGCTACATATGATGATTCTCAAATTATTATTCTCCTAGCTAGAATTTCTACTTATTAACAATCCAAATAAGAGAGTAGACTCCTTAAGTCTTCATGAATAAATTCTCATCGAGAACTTTTCATACATCCCTAATGTGTGAATGTGCTGTAAAATTTTGTATAAACTTTTTAGATAGTTTACACATTTATTTTTATATAATTGATACTTTTACATTACAAAACTTTTTTTTAAGCACACGACATGCTCATTTCTTTAGATTTAATCTTCTTTGTATGCAAGTTTTATGTAATAAGAATAAGGATAATTTTCAAGTTTTCTAATATGTCACGTTGATAATAAATTGTTAACTTGATAAAGTTATCTACAGATAACTTTTTCTAACCTATCTAAATTTATTTTTAAAATAATCTAAATTAATAAGATGATTAAAGAAAAAACAATGCTAACTCATCTTGATAAAATTTTATCTTAGTTAAATTATTTTTTTATTGTGAAAAATCCTTCACTAATTTAAACCAACAAAAATTTTAGTTTCGACTGACAAATAGAAAAAATATACCATTTAAACAAATAATAAATAAGATTAAAACTATTAATGTAGAAAAAATGAATAGTGCACTATTTTAGGGGGGGAATCCCGCTTTGTAGATAACAATAATAATTTCTTTCCAAAGTCAATCGAACTTCTTGGACAAGAGTCTATGGCAGTTTAGGAAACAAATCCCCCATTGTAAGCGACGTAAAGCACTAAACCATTTGCCAATCAAACAAATTGCCCCTCGCGTCGGTGCCCACAGACAATGAATTATCACCGCGTCTATGGCATCATCCGTAATTTCCACCAATCCCAAGCCCAGTAAATCCTATCCTTCCGCCACGTCACCAAAGTAAATCTCCCTATAAAACCGCACCACCCCCTGATTCTCCTCATTCAATCCACTCAAATCCTTCAAACCCGTGTAACGGCAAAACGTTTACAATGAAACGGCAAATACTAACCCTCTCCCTCCTCTTCATCGCTGTAACCGTCGCGGTGGTTGACGCGGCGCTCCTCGGAGGATGGAGTCCGATAAAGGACTTGAAAGACAAGCACGTGGTAGAGATCGCGGAGTTCGCCGTTGCAGAGTATAACAAGGAAGCTAAATCAAATTTGACGCTTGTGAGCATCGTTAAAGGCGAATCGCAGGTGGTATCGGGTACGAATTATCGGCTTGTTTTGGCAGTGAAAGGAGGGGCTAGTGCGAAGTACCAGGCTGTTGTGTATGAGAAACCTTGGGAGCATTTGAAGAGTCTGACGTCGTTTCAACCTTTTAAAGGTTGAGAAAATGTAATGCTCTGATGTAATGTTCTAATTTCATTTTATTTTTTTAGAAATTTGGGATGATAATATAATAATAGAGACTTTGGGGGCTCTTTTATATATGTTTTTTTTCTTGGGTTCTTTTTAGTTGATTTGATTTGGATTGTTGAGAGAGAAATTGACTGAATCGACCAGTGTTGGATTGATTGCGAAAATCTGGGTGCTGAATCTTTAATTAGAAGAAACAAAATAAAATTTAAAGAGAGGAAAAAGGAAATGAGCGTATGAAAACCAATGAAGGGCGAAAACATTCTAATTTAATAAATTCCTGAAGTATTTATAAGTGCTAAATGCTAAACAAATTAAGTGAAGCTATTAGATTTTATTTTATCTTTCGCTTTTGTCTTACTTATTACAAAGTGCCTAATTTTATGTTAAATGATTAATGTTATAATAAACTCTAAATGAAATGGGAAATAAAATACGGCAAGGGAACCCAGATGAATCTGGGAGGATCTTTTCGTCTTTGCAATATTTTTTATTTATGTTTTTAATATTAGGATGCCTTCAAGGGTTTTTAGTAATTCTAATTATTAAAATATTAATTTATCATTCCCTTACTGGACGGGTTGTGCATGGGATGTATGATGGTGGTCAAAATCCACCGATCACCTGGTTAGCGGCGGTTAAGCAGTTTTCCTCCTCTCGTTCTTTTTTCTCCCAGCACTGGTTTTTGTGATGAACTTTTAAAAATTTAGATGTGTTTTCTAATTTGTATTTTTTTAAAATAAGATTTAGATGTGTTTTCTAATTTGTATTTTTTAAAAATAAGATTTTATTTTATTTTTTATTTGTTTTTAGTTTAAGGCTTCTTAATTATTATTTTTTTAATTTCATCTATTTGTATTTTATTTCATATAATTTTTTTACTTAATTTAGTTTTTATTATTTTAATTACTATTTTTTTATTTTTTGTATTAATTTTTTTATTTCATCCTTTAAAATTTAATTTTATTTTGTTTTCAATTTTAATCCTTATTTTTTCTTTTCATTATTTATTTTGTTTTTAAAATTTAATCTCTAATTATTTTTTGTACATGATTTAGTCTTTTCATTGTTTTTATTTTTTTATGATTGAGAATTTCATTTTGTTATTTTTTTATGTTTTTCTTGACTCGATCCACCGGTTTCGATGATTAACTTGATTTAAGTTTGATATTTTTTAAAAAAATTAATTTTTTTATTTTCATCATTTGACATCGACTTATTGGATCTTGAGCTTCATGATTTGTTTTGATTTTTTTTATTAACTCATATCTTAGGTCACAAGTTATTAAAATTACGCTGAGTTGACTCATGTTTTCTTGTTTAATTATTCGATATTTGTTCCTATTTTCAAAGGGACATTTCTGATTTTTTAACACGGGTTTCCTCGGGTTTTTTTTTTGTTTTTTATCTTTATTGATTCTACCTCTTTTAAAATAATTTTTTTATTAGATTAAATTAATTTATTTTATCATTTAACATTAAATTAACTTTGTATTGCCTTGGTATTTTTGGTGTTTTTTTGTTAGATCTTGCTTTCTTAACAAGAAATTTTTTTAATTAAATTAATTTATCTCATCTTAATTAAATTAATTTATCTCATCTTTTAATATTAAATTTGTTTTATATTGAGCTTCTTAGTTTATCCTAGATTTAAAGTTTACAATTCACAACCTTATAAGATTAACTTAGGTTTAAAAGATTCACCCAAATTTACTTGGATTTTTTTTTTTAGCTTATATTTTTTGGTTTCATCCTCGGATATTTTCTTTTTTTTTTTTAATTCTTAAGGGATTTTCCATTTGTTTTGAAGAAAACATGTGTTTCCATAATTTTTTTTTTTTTTGGTTTTGTTCAATTTAGTTTTTTTAATAAGAATTCTTGCTTTTGAATTAAATATAATCATTAAATATTTTTTGTTCTTTGTTGCAATTACTTTTGAAACTCAGGCTGGCGCAAGTCTCAGGTTCCTTAAGTCGTGAGTTAATTTATTAAGTTGAATATTTTGAGCATCCAATGATGTATTTTGATTTTATTTTAATATGATCTTCACTTAATTAATTTTTATTTTTTTAAAATTTTTTTTGTGAATTTATGAATTTTTAATTTGACCTTTCAGTTCAATATTTGATAATATTTTATGCTTTGGGCCTCAATGATTTGCTTTTAAATTTGTATTCTTGACATATTTATCAATTTTTAATTTTTTTTTTATTTTATTATTGGATTCATAATTTTTTTTTTTTGATTTTACTCATGTTGTTTTTTTGATTTTTTTTTTGATTTTTACTCCCAATTTTATCTTTCATCATTTTCATCATTTGTATTCATGGGAACTGACAATCTATTTTTTTTCTGTTCTCTTTCAATGATGTGGAGCTGTTAAATTTTTTTCTTTTCTTAAAACACTCCTAACACTTTTTTTTTTATTTATTTACGTGGGGTGTCCGGGCCAGCTTACGCGCATCACGACTAATCCCCATGGCTCACTGAATATCCTGCAAGCCCAGTGAACAGGTAAGGTACCACAGGAATGATAAGCATGTATAATAAAGTTCGAACCCAAATAAAAAAAATAACAAGCCCCTTCTTCATTGTTCTTTTAAGCTTCAAAAAATCTGACCCACCCATGGCGAATTGCGGACAAGCTATCTAATCGTAACTAGAAAACATGGACTAAGTTTAAAGAAAAAACAACAAACCTCGAGGCTACTAGCCCACTTGATAATAACAACAACAAAAAACTACATGAAAGGTCAAAAAATCCTCTTTAGTCTTAAAGATGGTGAGGCGGCTCACATGTTGGTGCAGAGAATGCACACACTATTAACTTTTTTTTTTGTTTTTTATATTAATTAAAATATCAAATCGTTCACTTGATAATAACCAGAAAAGAAAAGTGAAAGTAAAAAAAGCCCCTCAGTCTTGTGTTGAATTTTCTGAATATAAGGGTAATATGATAGTTTCCTTATGTTTTGAAAAGTGAAATTATAAAAAGGCACTTATAAGGCAGTTAATGTTCCTTTTCTTTTAGAGATATTTAAGTTATTTTGATGTGTCAAAAAATATAAATTTTTTTTATTTTTCCTAATTAATTCAAGAATGATTAATGGACCTTATAAAAAGATTCATTTACCCAGGTTAGTTCTTTGAGTTTCTTGGTTAATAAAAAATATATAATTTTAATGCACTAATTTATGATAAATTACATCTTGTCTAATGTACTTTTCCCACGGCAATGAGGTTTTGTTAACAAAATACAATGGTATATAATTATCCACATTAGTGAGGTTAATTGACATTTTTCTATGGTTTAGGACAGCGTGAGGATACCAGACAGGAAAGTTCCCAAAAAAAATCTTACACCCATTTAAGCAATGTTTTGAAGCCTGAATCCTCTCGAATGGGATAAAAAGTGACCTAAACCGGTTTAGGTTAGGTCAGATTTCAATAAAAATAAATAGAGAATTGAACTCCTGTAACTAGGTTAAAAACTCAAGTTAACAAATGATTTGGTCTGTCTAAAAAAATATATAGCTTAAAATCTGTTGATTTTTTTTTTAAAATCATGTTATTTTTTTTAAAAAAAAAACTTAGATTATTAATCTAGATAAACTCATTTGAATTATAATTTAAAGTTTTATTCGAGTTGACTGAACTAGAATTTAAAAACTATGGATTTAAGTTACACAGCTTTGCATAGCAAAAGCCAACTGTAAAACAAAACTAGTTTGTGTTGCGTGAGTGATAGAAATTACTTTTTAAAATATATTTTTATTTCAAAATATATTAAAATAATATTTATTTTAATTTTTTAAGAATTTTTTATACTAATATGTTAAAACAATTAAAAAACATCAAAAAACTTAATTTAAAGCTAGGAAAATTGAAAACTTTTTTAAAAACACAATTGATCCAAATAAAACCAAAATGTTGCCTATTTATCTTGAGCAGGAGTTTACATGTTGCATTGATGACGTTTCTCCTAGCTCATTGGTAATTTGTAGTTGGGCATGGATTTCAAGAATCTAAATCCTTGACATTTCATTCACCAAGCCTAAGAATTAGATCCTTAGCTGTTGGGATTGGTTTTATTAAATATACGCTAGGTTTTTAAATATAAAATTAAAATGAACTCCATTTACATTTAACGATAAATCATGTTGGATTGTGTAATTTAATATAAATATTTTAACATAAAATATAAATATATTCTTAAAAATCAATTAAAGGGAAATAAAAAATTATTATCAAATAATATTTAAATAACAACACTTTCAAATGTAAAATAACTTTATGGACTTATAAATGAGCTTATAAACTCATAAAAAATATTTTTTTTATTAAGTTCTTGTTTTGATCGGTATCTAAAATGTCTAGTATATAAACTAATATATTAATTATAATGTGATAAAAATAAATATATTTAAGAATTTTCATTAATTATAAACATTTATCATAATAAATAAATATTTATGAAATATAAATACAATGCAGCATACATGATAATTGTATGCTATTTTAGAAGATAAAAATAAAAATATAAAATAAGAGATGAAAATGGTTATTCAAGGATCATGTTTACGCATTATCCATGCACACACATGAATCCAAAACTGTTATATGTCTTTGGCTCGTTATCTAGGGAGTATGAATTTTGGATATCTAAATCTAAACTGATTTGGTTTCAGTATCTATGAAAGTACTTCTTGTAATTTAATCCATTAATATATCTTTGAAAGAAGATATTTTACTGTGGGTAGAGAATAACTAGTTATATAACCCGCGTGATGTCGTGAGTCAATTTTTTTATATAAAAAATATTATAAAAATAATTTAAAGTGTTAGCTTTTTTTATAAAGCTATAATCAAAAGTCTTGAGTTTGGCTATAACACCTAATCTAAAAGTAATATTTATAATATTAATAATAATATTAAACTTGTATGACCTAAATTTAAGTGGGTGTGACTGCAATACCATATTCAATAACCTTAGATGTAGGTCTGGCTGCAAGGATGTGTCATAAAAATTATATAATTAAATAAATTAACTAAATAGAAAGAAAAAGAAAAAAAT